CTTTAAGGGCTCGGGGACTGGGAGGGGGGCAGAAGATTTTCCCTGGTTTGGCCCAGAGTGGCCACCAGGGAAAGCTGGGAAGGGCTAGCCTCCAACTAGTTCGAATTAAGTGTCTACACAGCCCTTAATTCGAACTAGGCATTAGTCCTCGTAGAATGAGGTTTACCTAGTTCGAATTAAGTGCTCCGCTAGTTCAATTTAAATTCAAATTAGCGGTTTTATGTGTAGCCCCTATTAAAGTTAATTCGAACTAACGGCTGTTAGCCTAGCGTAGGCTGAAACTGTCCCTCAGGGCCTCCTTCATGAGCATAGCCTCCTGATGGGCTTGCCAAATGGCAGCAGTGCATGGCTGCTCAAAAGCCCTGGCGAGCTGCTCAGCCTCTGCCCCCAAGCCAGGAAGGAAAGTCTCCCCCTTGTTCTCACATAGGTTGTAGAGCATGAAGTAAGCTGCTACAACCTGGGGAATGGTCCAGTCTTTGAGGTCCAGGAGGTTGAGGAGACACCAAAACCTCCCTTTGAGGAGGCTGAAGGCACCCTCCACAATCGTGCAGCACCTGCTGAGCCTGGTGTTGAAGCGTTCTTTGGTTCGGCCCAGGTGTCCCATGTAGGGCTTCATTATCCGGGGGACCAATGGGTAGGCTGCATTGTCCATGATGCACGTGGGCATGTCCACTTCCCTGACCCTGATAATGTGGTTGGGGAAACAATGTGTTGGTGTTCATGCTATGGAAGAGACTGGAGTACCTGACCATATGGGTGTCATACCTCTTCCCTAACCATCCGACGTAGATGTCTGTGAGCTGACCCTGGTGATCCACTAGGGCCTGCAGCACGATGGAAAAGTACCCCTTCCTATTGATATAGTCCGAGGCCTGGTGGTCGGTGTCAGCCAACGGTCTTTGGCCCAGAGTGGCCACCAGGGAAAGCTGGGAAGGGCTAGCCTCCAACTAGTTCGAATTAAGTGTCTACACAGCCCTTAATTCGAACTAGGCATTAGTCCTCGTAGAATGAGGTTTACCTAGTTCGAATTAAGTGCTCCGCTAGTTCAATTTAAATTCAAATTAGCGGTTTTATGTGTAGCCCCTATTAAAGTTAATTCGAACTAACGGCTGTTAGCCTAGCGTAGGCTGAAACTGTCCCTCAGGGCCTCCTTCATGAGCATAGCCTCCTGATGGGCTTGCCAAATGGCAGCAGTGCATGGCTGCTCAAAAGCCCTGGCGAGCTGCTCAGCCTCTGCCCCCAAGCCAGGAAGGAAAGTCTCCCCCTTGTTCTCACATAGGTTGTAGAGCATGAAGTAAGCTGCTACAACCTGGGGAATGGTCCAGTCTTTGAGGTCCAGGAGGTTGAGGAGACACCAAAACCTCCCTTTGA